GCTGATCAGATCAGCTGCCTCGGTATCGCGGGGCTTGTGTTCACGTCACTCATTTTCATGGCTGCAACGCGCAGGAGTCGTGATGTGCCATTCGACCGTGCCGGAGAAAAGCCGTAAAGTGCTTCCTGTAAAACAGTATGTGAGGGTTCAGTGCTGCCCAGAACAGTTTGTTTTTCCAGGACCCGTCAGCTCCAAGTCCAGCAGTTGTTTCAATCTCGTGGTGGAGGGCGCAGCTCCGTGGCCCATGTGGGGATCGAACCGGCAGCCTTGGTGTTACGAGCCTGCGCTCTAGCCACTGAGCTGACCGGCCGCCCCGTGTTACTTAGGGTCGGGCCTGCCATTCACCCCTTCACACGTGGGGGAGGGCCCCACGGCCTGTAGGCAGGGCCGATGCAGCTGCCTCGCTTCGGGCGTCGGCAAACCCCTTTCCTCTTAGGTGACTGCAGGTCCTGGCGGTGCCGGTTCCGCTGTTGAGCCCCCAAAGCCAGAGCCTTTGTGATGCTTCAGCACCGCAGCCGTCGTGCGCCTTGTGGCGACCTGGCGGCATTTCTTCCTGCCAGTGCTCTGAGATGTGACGGAAAGCCCCCTGTATGCTGCCGTGTTGTGTTTTGTTTTTTTAAGCAATTGGTCACGTGGTGTCTCTCACAGCCTCAAAGGACTGTGGCTCGCCAACCTGGCGGGGACTAGCGTCACCTCGGAGGTTTGGAAAAGTAGATTCTTGGGCCTTAGTTCAGACTTACTGAAGATCTTTGACATTTTCCAGTGTGTTTCCGGTGTTCTGCCAGGTTTGGGAACCACTAAGTAGCTCGCCCTCCTCACTGTTGAAGAGGCTTCAGGAGATACAGTGACTTGCCACCCGAGAGACGTAGGGAGAGGCAGAGCTGGGATGGGAACCTACGTTTTCTGTCTTAAATTCTGTACTTTTTTGGGGTGGCCGGTTAGCTCAGTTGGTGAGAGCGCGGTGCTGATAACACCAAGGTTGCTGGTTCAATCCCCGCATGGGCCACTGTGAGCTGCGCCCTCCTTATAGCGTCAACTATGCTGTTGTAGCATGAAAGCAATGTGTAAACAGTGACCATGGCTGTTCCCCAATAAAAAATTTTTTTTGAAAATTCTATACTTTTTCTACTATACTGTGCCTCGTCTCGTTGGCTTTGGGTGATGTGGGAGAGAAAAGTTTTTCAGGAAGAAGACTCTCCCCCCTCTTTATTTGCTCAAGCTTGCTTCTTCTCTGCCGCAGGTTCCATGGGGAAGGGTACCAGGAAGGCTATGAAGAAGGCAGCAGCTTGGGTATCATTGAAGGAAGACAACACGGCACTTTACACGGAGCTAAAATTGGATCGGAGGTGAGCGGGAACCCCCGTTTAGAAATGAATCCTTGTCATGTGCAGTTTATAATTTACTTTGATGGTCAG